GTACACTTCCATATTCCGACCAATCTGAAGTTTGAACATTCGATCCATCAATCGCTGGTATGTTGCTCCTGCATTCTTTAGGCCGAAAGGCATTACGACATAGCAATATGTTCCCTTGCTCGTCACAATACTCACTTTACTTTGATCCTCCGGGGCCAAGGGGATTTGGTGGTATCCTTGCGATGCGTCCATCATGCTCAACATTTCGCAACCAGCTGTGGAGTCGACTAGCTGGTCGATTCTAGGCAAAGGATAATGATCTTTAGGGCATGCCAGGTTCAAGTCCCGAAAGTCGATGCACATACGCCATTTGTTTAATGCTTTCCTCACCATAACTGTGTTAGATATCCATTCGGGGAATTGGATCTCCTTGATATGCTTGGCCTTCAGCAACTTATCCACCTCGACTTCGATTGCTTTGTCGATTTCAGCGCCATGGTGCCTGAGTCGTTGCTTCACAGGTTTTCTGAATCGTTCCTATTTAATTTGGTAAATAGGACTCCCTTAATATAAGTATAGATTGCCCTTTTCATTTAGCTTTTCTTAATTAATTAGACCCATGTGAAGAGACAACAAATTGAACATGCACCTACAATCAAATTACAAATTTTAAGCCCACATGAATTGCACTTAAAAGTTTGGCCCATATATATATTNAAACATTTTCTATGAATATGAACCCTTTTAAAAATATAACTTTTATTGTAAAGTTACGAAATATTTCTTCTTTACGTTTACGTTTAATTCTTTGTAGTTTATAAAATGTTTATATTATCAGATCTCATGGCATGGCTAAATAATATATGTTCACATATCAAACATAAATTATTAGTAAATGTCAAATAACATTGAAATCTTGCATAAGTTGGAACCGTCATTCTCCAGTCGTCAATCCCTTCAATTTTTTTAGATCTAGTCACCATTTCTCGGAGCCGAATGCCGCTTCCAAGTCTCAGCCTCCGGCAATGTCTCTGCCGGAGAGCATCACACAACCCAGTTGTCGTCGGTTGAACGAGTCACATATCTGGCCCGCCGGTTTTGGGTCGCCTCCGCTTAATATGATTCGATCTCCTTTGACCGAAATGAATTGTCAGACCTCTATTGTCTAGTCGTGTGTTGGCGGCTTCGTTTGTGCATCACACAGATGTGTCACTAATTTTGAAAGTGTATTGTGATGTTAATTGTGAGTACTCTTGCAGAGAAAGAAATAAATTAAATTGAGGGGGTATTAATGTTTTGGTAGTGGTGGGAGGTGTTACGTCACGTTTTGTCACAAATTGGGTTGAACGCCTACGCCTCAAAATGTCTTCGTCTTTGAGCTCCGGTGATCTGCAATATGTTGGGAGGTGGTCCCGACAGAAAAACCTATGGCACTCAAGTTAGAACTTGCTCAATAACTGTATATGAGAAATTATATAAAGACGTATAATGCGATGATGCGATGAAGACGAACTTGTCCCCTTATATAAGAAAATCCTTGTTAGGGAAAAATCTAACAAAATCCTACTTCCTAACTTACCACGTCTATTTCTAGGCAAGAGTACTTGAATAAGTGATTTTTTCCTTCTTACTATGATCCTTTCTCCCTTTACTGTTCTGCTCATAGATCCTTAGGTCGTGACTCCAACCACTTGACCTGTTTGTTGTGGCCTACTCGAGGTCAAACCCAACCTTGTCTTGAGGTCTAACATGACCTCATCCTGATAACATGTCCTCGGGCCACATGACCTCGATACATTGAGGTCAGTTGTTTTGTCGGGCTTTTGGAGGTCAGCACCTTTAGGTCGTATTTCTTCAGGTTGGTCGGTACCTTAAGCCCGCATACGAGCTACTTGACTGAGTAGCTTACTTCCTAGACCGACCTAGCCGAGCTACCTGCTCAAGTCGGTCTACCGAGCTACTCTGAGTGCTAAATCAGGTGGTGTGTGCTAGAGAGATGTGTGTAGAGGAAGAAAGGAAAAAAGAGAAAGAAAAATAGAGAATAGCATGAGAAAGAAAAATAAAGGAGAAATAAAGAGAGAGGGAGGAGGAGAGAGATAGAGAGAGAGAGTTCACAAGTTTTATATTTATTGAAGAATGTTTCCATAATTGGAAATAAAAATTGGGATTAGTTTATACTCCCTCCGTTTTTTATTAATTGTCGTTTGGGTGTACATTTCTTTTTGCTTATTAAATGTCGTTTTGGATAACTATGAACTAATATTATCTCAAATCTTAAAAATATGTAGATTAGTTCATGTTTTATTCTTTTGTTATGTAACTTTAGCTCATACTCTCCTACTTCATTCTAACAACATGAGATAAGAGTACGGTTTTTTATTTTTTTTCTTCCTGCGGCAAAATCCTACTAAAATTTAGGAGATTTAAGAGATGTAGAATAGTAAATAACTAATTCCTTGAACTACGTAATTTTGTTCTTCTAATCTAGAATGACAATTATTTTTAAACAGATGGAGTATATAAATAAAAATTGTCTTAATACCGTGCGATATAATTTTCTCTAAAGGTTTTGGCATTTATAGAAGTGTTGATTTGTGCAAACCTAAATGAAAGTTGAATGAATTAAACTTAATGAAAGCTCATTGTTGCAACCTACAGTCACTCGAGAATGATGCCAAACGCGGCCGTGAGTGCATTCCTACCATGGATCAACCCCTTCTTCGCAATCCATTGTGTGCCCAACGACGAGAACCGTCCAACACTTAGCCCAATTTAGAGACTCACCCGTTACTCGAGTCATCAATACATATTCACGGCTCATAAATAACTAAAGTTGCAATTTTCTCCAAACTGATTAAGTACATACAATAAAATGTGAGCTATTTTGTAATTAGAAGGAACTATTACAGAATTTTAATTGGGAGTGATAATTGTATGGAGAGATTCGTATAATTGATGTAAGAAAATGCAAAGTTGAAATGACCCAAAAGAGCCGGGTGGCCGTTTCATAATTCATAGACAATATACCCCGAACACTCTCATAATCAGTGTTTTTCAACTCGGACCGGCCTGGCGGGTCGACCCGGGACTCGGAGCCGGAACTGGTCCGGGTGGGCTATTCGAACCGGGAAACAACGGACCCGGTCAAACCCGGTCAAAACCCGGTCAACCCGGTCGACCCGGGGCATTGACCCGGCTGGGTCAACTCTGTTGACCCGGTCCTATATATTTTTTTTTATTTTTTTATTTTTTAATATATTTTTTGTTTTTAAAAAATAAAACTATTTATATATATTTATATAGTAAATATTTATCATGAAATATATATTATTAACACTTTAATGTACAAATTTTATATACAAAATATTTAATTTTGTTATTTTTATGTATATTTATAAGACAAAATACTCTATATATAATTTAAAAAATTTTAAAATTAATTATCCAATTCAGTAATTGACCCGGTGACTCGGCGGTTGAACTGATGACCCGGTGACCCGGAGACCTGCCCGGGTCGATTCCCGTGCTAGGTTTAAAAACTATGCTCATAATAATACGCTTTTTGCTTGAATGACAAGGTTGCCCCATGCCTTATCATTGGTATCATCCACCACATAAGTTGCAAGTTAGAATAACCAATTCACACCATTTTATATATTTATTGTTGAGCTCATCCACCACATAAGTTGCAAGTTGAATAACCAATTCACACCATTTTATATATTTATTGTTGAGCTCTTCAAATAAAAAATTTAGAGTGTGCTTGTTTATCAATTATTCAATATTCATACTCAATTCATACTTAAAATCTAACTCAACTTTAACTCAACACTTTTATTCTTAATATTATCAATATAAACTAGTGTCAATCCCGTGCAATGCACGGGTGAGACATATTTATTAATATTTATAAATTAAATATTCTCACCAAATAATATTTGTAAATTAAAAACATGGAATCAATATGTAATACAATGTACATATATGGAAAATTACATAAAAATGTCTATTTAAAATTAGTACACAGCTCGTGCGTTGCACATAACTGATAATACATTACATTATATTCGTTACAAAATATGTGGCATTTCAAAAGTTTTATTCAAAAATTCAATTTGACTATAACGTGATTCCATAAAATAATTATTTTGGTAAAATTTAATCATATTATTTAAAAACCTATGTACATAATAAGTATAAATATAAAACTTATATTATTTCATCAATTAAAATGACTGTATTTTTGTATAACATATCCAAATCAAAAAATTTAAGTAACTGAGTAAAAACAATCAACCATAAGATTTTATGCCAAAAAAATCAACACTCCTTATCATTCTAAATAAAATGAACAGTGCATTTCAAACAAAAAATATTTGAAATGTTGTAACAAAAAATGAATTAAATCGATACACATTAATTATACAAAAAAATTTGACCAGAGCTTATTCTATAAATAAACATCAATACACGGAGGTTATATCAAAATATTCGTTCATATTTAGTTTTTCGGAGTTATGGTAATTTTATTTTGTTACTTTCACACGAAAAACTGAAATAAAAATTGAAACTCACGCCTAAAAACCAATATATTGGCCTGCACATTACAGAAAAAAATTACAATTTGCTCACTTTATACTATATATTGATTAATTTATTATACATAGAAACAACCATCAATATCAAAAATAAATTCGTCCACTTTATACTATATATTAACTAATTCACATGATTTGAGTAATTAAGGTATCTTAAAATATGGCTTAATTACTTCCTTAAATAATGAGTCGTCCACTTTATACCATATAATAATTAATTCACGTGATTAGAGTAATTAAGATACCTTAAAATATGGCTTAATTACTTCCTTAAATAATTTTGGTGCCCTCATTGTGGAACATTCAGGTGATTGGAATGTGCCTTTGGTGCGGACTATTTTTTCTACCATTGAAGCTGATGCTATTCTTTCCTTAGCGCTGCCACAAAATCATTTTGAAGACCGATGGATCTGGCACTTCTCCAAGAACGGTAAATTTTCTGTTCGTTCTGCTTATTTCCAGCTTATGAATTCCCCTGTTTTTGTTTCACGCTTAGCTTCGACAACTCCTCAACCGTTGGGAGTCCGCGACCCTGTTTGGCGTATGATTTGGAATCTAAAGTTGCCCCCTCGAGTGCACCTTTTTGTGTGGCGCTTGTACCTCAATGTCCTACCAACCCCGGATAATCTAGCTCGACGAAACGTGACATTTGATGGAGCCTGCCCTTTATGCTCATCTGCTACATCTACCAGCCTGCATACTTTCTTTGACTGTAGTTTTACTCTACAGGCGTTGCGTATTGCCGGTCTTCTTGTTGTTGTTCGGCAACTTCAAAAAGCAACATGTGAAACTTGGTGTCGTAATCTTTTGCTTTGTTTGAAGAGCCCGCATATTGAATTTTTAGCTGCTATTTGGGATGGAATTTGGCAAGCCAGGAATGGAGTTATTTTTTAACAGAAAATGGTTAGGCCGTGGAATATTGTGTTGAATGCAAGTCGACTTGTGGCTGAATTCGCTTCACACTCTTCAAATCCCGAAATGCCTGATCCCTCACTGTCTCTTCTTCCTACCTCCGTTGTCCCTTCTGTCGATGCAACCAGAATTTATTTTGATGGCTCAATCTCCCCTACTTGTGTATGTGGTGGTTCAGGCGTCTTTGCCTGTTCTGCTAATGGAATATTTTTACAAGCTTTGTCACGCCGTTTTGCTGGAATTGTTGACTCAGATTTAGTCGAAGCTTTGGCGTTGAGGGAAGCGATTCTCTTGGCTCAGAAATTAAATGTTCCGAATATGGCTGTAATAGGGGATTTTTCCTTGATTGTTCAAGCTTCATTAGGTTTAACTGATGGCCCTTCGAGTTGCTCGCCAATTATAGATAATATCGTTGCTTGTTTATCTCATTTGCCTTCTGTTAGATTATTTTGGATTCCTCGTTCGGAGAATGTTGTTGCCCATTCTTTAGCTAGACATGCAACCCATTCTTCTTCTGCTATTTCTGTATGGAGTGATCCTCCAACCTTCCTGTCTCAATTGGTGATGGACCATTTTCAGTAATCTAATGCATGTTTGTTAAAAAAAAAATAATGAGCCGCAATTTCCATAAGTGATCATTTGAAATATACCATAAATTGTTAAATTCATTTCCCAAAATAGTAAATAGATTTTTTTAGGGAAATAGTTACTATTTCAAAAATAATCAAACCTTTATATATATATATATATATATATAGATATTTAATACTCCCTCCATTTTGAAATATAAGGCATTTAAGGTTATTGCACAAATATTAAGGAGACATTAATTAATGAATAAATTGACTAAATTAACCTTATTTACTCTAATCACAACCACTCCACACTTCCTTAATTTCAACACAATGAGGGTATATTTGGAAAAAAA